TTATTGAATAAATACATTAAAAAACATTAAAAAAAAAATTACAACATGGCATGAAAATTGAAATTTTTAGCTTGATAAACTAGTATCATTATTTGGCCAAATTATAGCATAAATGAAAATGTAAAAAGACAATTTTGAAGGTGTTTGAGATTTAACGGGACAAAAAGTAACTACTCCCTGAAAAATAATACAATTAAAAACTTTTAGAAATGTATCCTCTATGAATATTGTTGCATAATCTCTATCATAATATGGTAGGAAAATCACATACCCAGTCAATTTGTTTGAGGCCGAGTGCTCTTAAGGGAAACAATTATGTACCGAACAAAGATTTTAAACAGAGAGGCTATTTCTCTGCTATGACCTTATCCTTAGACCTTCAACATGGTTCAAGGTCACTGCACACCCTTCACCGAAAGGCACTCTGTGAAGTAGGTATGAATTCACTCTTAAAAATGTTTTACTTAGTAGTCATTTTTTACTTGAAATAACAAAGATAAGTAATAGATAATTACTAAGCATTTACTTAAAATTTTAAATCAATTACTGAAATATATGTCAATTACTAGATTCAAATGTTTTACTTGATTTTTGTATTTTAAAGAATTGTTTTACTTACACACTAAAAAGTTTTACTTAGTAATTTATATTTACTTAAATTTGTGTATATAAGTAATAACATTACTTGGTCTTTACTTACATTTTACCACTATTTACTATATAATTTATATTTTAAACGAAGTTTCGGGGGAATATAGTTTTTGTCGTGTCCGTCTGTCTGTCTATTGTCTATGTCTCTCTGTTTGTCCAGTTTAAAGACTTTAACCTTGCCCATAACTTTTGATTTAGCGGAGCTATGACTTTCATATTTCACACGTGTATTCCTTGTGATAAGACCTTTCTTTGAGTATCACCAAATTTGACCTTGACCTTGAAGTTTGACTCACTTTACACAAAAAATAAACTTATTCTTTATCCAAATCTTTTGAACAGTAAATACCAGGACATGTATACTTCACATATATATTTTTTGTTGAAAGAACTTTCATTGAATACCAACAACTGTGAAATTTTGACCTTGACCTTGGAGATTTCCATCCTTGTGAAATAAAAACTTTAACCTTGGCCATTTTTTAATGGTCAGGAATAGTGCTTTCATAACATATATGTAATCATTTTGAGAAGACCATTCATAGGATACCAAAACTTTGACCTTTGACCTTGACCTTGGAGTTTGACCCACTTTTAAAAAGCAAACCTTGACTGTAACTTTAAAAGGATTATTAATGCATTAAAAAATTACATTTATCCTTGTGACAAGACCTTTGTGGGTACCACCAAATCTGTTTTGTCTTTGACCTACCTACATTTCAAAATTGGTGCCTTGACCATATTTTTAAATTCATCCATATTTCAATATGTATTTTTTTTGGCAAGACCTTTCATTAGATACCAATAACCTTTTTTGACCTTGGAATATCCCCAATAATTTTAAATTTGTATATAAGAAAAGTTTAACCTTTGAAATGTTGCATACAGGGGCATAAGGTTAAAACACATTATGTTTGAATCACACATTGATTTACTTAAAACAAAAATTTATTTACTAAATCTAGGAGAATTCAGATCATAATAAAAATATGGTAGTCTATCACTAATTGTCTGTGAGGAGGAGTTATCTTTCTTCTAAATATTCCTTCATGTGAAAAAAAAGTCATTAATAAAAATGCGATATTAAGTACTTGAAATGTTTAACCATTTTTAAAATGGTCCTTAAAAAGATACAACTTATTCAATTTTTAAGGCTTTCGAAGTTGGAATCGAATGTTTTATTGTTATATATAATAAAACAATTACAAAGAAATTGGCAAAAGAAATAGAAAGTATAATTGTTTCCATCATAGATAGATTTCTTGTATATAACTACTCAGAGGGCCCAATTAGGGAACTCTGGTTAAAAAATCTGTGTGTAGTACTCACATGTCAGAGGGTCGGTACCTTGCAGTGTTTCTAGTAAATAATGTCGATTTTAGTAAATATGATAAGTATTTCATTTACTTAGTATTCTTTTGAGTAATAATATTCTAGATTTTAAAGAATTACATTTACTTAGTAATAATTCATAAAATTTAGTAAATAGAAAGCATATTATCTCTAAATTAAGTAATAATAATTTAACAAAAATGAGTAGTTCATTTACTAATTTTAAGTAACACAATTCCTATAATTTAAGTAATTCTATTGATACGTAGTAAATCATTTTATAAGTAAATGAATTCATCCTTATTACTTATTATGTTTACAATTACTAACCATGATAGTCATTTACTTGCTATTCTGACTAAATGGATTACTAATAATTACTATTTTTTCTTAATCTAATATCTTATTTTAAAAACAAGTAAAACTTTTTTTAGAGTGAACCTAGTTGGACAAGGGGCAGAGATATGCTCCAAACAAGGATTTTTCATATAATTCTACTTTAACTTTAACCTTTGACCTAGAAATATTATTCAAGGTCACTGCACACCCTTTACCCAAAGGCACTCTGTGAGTGAAGTGTGAGCCAGATTGGGCCAAGGGAGAGAGGATATGCTCCGGACAAAGATTTTTCATATAATTCTGCTATGACTTTGACGTTTGACCTAGATACATGGTTCAAGGTCACTGCACACCGGTTACCCAAGGGCACTTTGTGGGTGAAGTATGAACCAGATTGGGCCAAGGAGATAGAAGATGTGCTCCGGACAAGGATTATTCATACAATTCTGCTATGACCTTGACCTTTGACCTAGAAACATGGCTCAAGGTCACTGCACACCGGTTACCCAAGGGCACTCTGTAGGTAAAGTAGTGAGCCAGATTAGGCCAAGGAGAAAAAAGATATGCTTCGGACAAGACATCTCGGACAGACGGACGGACAGACAGACTGATCACTATAGGGCGCCCGCCGAGCGGGGCCCTAATTATTGAAATCCCAGTAATATCAACTTTTTAGTCAGTAGCCTGCCCCTGTTTTGAAAAAAAAAACAACTAACGCACTCAAAGCATGCTCTTAATTTCAAATCAGTATGGAGATAAAAATACTAATAAGTTTCTGCAGGTACATGGATGATGTTGAGTATGAGTGCATACAGCAGTATAATTGTAGGGAAAGTTAACGACGGAAAAGCTTATAATAAGCCATACCGTTTGTCATAGAGTTTAGATTTTAGTCGGCATTTAATGTCTATTGTTAGAGAAATACCCATTGACAACGTTTTTATAATCATGAATAATTTCTATATCAACTAATTTTGCTCACAAAATTTATCACAATGATTACAATTTAAATTGCAGGATTGATTGTATTTTTTACTTCTAAGATGCGGGTAAATGATGTCATTTGCAGCTAGACAGGACCGTGAATTCATAATGTGAGATTAAGGCCATGAAACATAAATTGGCATTGTTTGCATAAAGAGAAAACCTGTTTGCCAAAGTACATTAATATGCAGACTATATGAATAGTATACATATATTGATAAAAAGCATCAAATTTTGTTTGTATCTACATTAATACCAACAACAGCTGTAGTAATGATCAGATTTCCTGTTTTATTTAGTCATGTTCAGCTGAACAAGACTTCAGGGGCCCGAATCGTAGAATAGATTTAGTTAAAAGAAATTTTACATTTTCAAACCAAAATTTAGAGAATATAAATTTGCCTAAATATTGATGGTTGATGTCTTACAGTGTATATCATGTTTATTGTAAATCAAGATTTTATTCAAAACCAGTTTCCCTTTTCATAGCTTTTAAGCAATTTAAAATGAACATTCACTAGAATACCTCAAGTTAAACTTTGCCAATAAAAAGGACTAAGATACTTTTCAAATTTATAAAAAGGGGATTCTAAATAGCAATATTTTGGCAAAATTAAAAAATACATATATTACAAGTTTGATATGAAGTAATAAATGGGATATTTAAGGGGTGAACTTATGATACATCAAAGACGTTCTGGCTAGTTAGAATATTTTAAGTATAAAATTCATGAAAGCAAAGGGTACTGGTCTTCCTTAATAAAACTTCATAGAAATATAAACTTAAGAAATACAATCTTTGGTAACCAAAATGTATTGTGTATTGATATAAATGAAGAGGACAGTGCTCTCATATCCATTATGATCACGTGATCGTAATAGCTCTAAACGAAAAAAAATAATCCCTCATATTGTTATATTTCTGATTTCTTTTTAAAACATATTATAGAATGGATAAACTTCTGATCTTATCCAAACTGATAATCTGGTGTGTTTATCTTGACTTCAATATCTGTGACAAAGACATTGAGATACAGTACTTAACTTATATGTGTTGATGTATTTCTCATCATTAAGTGTGACTGTACGGATGTTGAACCTTTTGCAGACACGTGCACTTCAATTTTCTTCAATTGGCCTTGAACGTTTCTCCAAGTATAGAGAACTAAAAAAGTAAATTCTATTTTGCGTATCTAATGACTTTTTGTTTAAGTTTAGTCTTTTTTTCAGTAAAACAGCGAAAAATCAAACGCAAGAAAGATTTTTCATTTTCATGTAATTTTAGAATTATTTCTTTTTTCTATATACAGTATAGTTATAAAAGCTTAGCCTTTGTTACTACAAGTAGGAGAAAGAAATTTGATACTGAGGGAAAAATAATTAAAAGGAAATAAAAGCAAACAAAATTCTTACTCTCAAACAGTAAAACTGTTTTAATTTATTATTATTTTTTATCATAATTATTGCTTATTATTTTTTAGAATTCATTTCCTAAAAAAGTCAAATCTCTGAATACTAGGATACCTCGTATTTATATCTGCTACGAAGCATGAAGGCAAACTCAACATTGGGGGAGAAAAATGTTGTCTAAGCATTTTATATATAGGTTTTAAAACATCAATGGGGGAGAGAGAGAGAGATATTCGATAAATTGACATTTATTAACTAAAGGCTGAATCAGATTGGAAGCCCCGCCTCTTTACCTAAATGTATAAAAACTGCTTTTGGGACATATTTAGAGTCCTTCTAAGAAGCTCAGGGTTATATTTTTTTTGGTTTTTAAGTAAACAATGGCTCCAATACAGTGGATACTGATCATCCTGAGTGTCTTTGCTCTTTCTCTGGATGCAGGTAATTTTACTATTCTTTTATTTCTTTAATTTTTGTCCCCCCCCCCCAAAAAAAAACAAGAAACAAACAAACGATATTTAATTAGAATTTTAAAACTTAAATAAATTTGGATCTCTTTAAGATTTATGTTTCTCAAATTAAATGAAAGTTTTTTTCTTCCTAAAGAGGCATGAGTACCAATGCTTACAAGTTTGATACATTGTCTGTATTGTTAAATTATTTACTTAGTTTAATTATATAAACTCTAAAGTATTTATTCTAACTTTTAAATGAATTGAACACTTATTGAATATTCTTAAATCAAAGTTTTAAAAGAATAGCGATATTCAAAATAGATGTCACAATAATGTACATTTTTTTCTTATTTTCAAAGTTACTCCCCGTTTATAAATTTACTTTTATGTGAAACTCGCAGCAAGCATGAGATTTGATTACTCAGGGTTCTTGCTGAATGCACTTTTCTTTTCGTTTCTTTAATTTTTGTCGATTAATATCATTTATCTAGATGCACTAAAACGATAAGACAAACAAGGTTCTTTTGAAAAACATAAAATATACTTTATCATTATATATAATTATAACTGATGCTGTTATCTAATTATCTATAAATTTTGAATTTATTCGAATGAAAATTGGGACCAATAGTTGAACTAATGCCCTGTTCACACGGAGAGTTTAATTCGAATTAAACGTAAGTTTACTGCGAATTAGCTTCGCTTAGCGTTCACACGGGAAATTTAATGCGAATTAGTTTAATTCGAATTAGTTTACTGCGCATTAAATTACTTCGCATTAGCTCCGTGTGAACGCTAAGCGAAGCTAATTCGAATTAAATTCTGATGAATGCGTAATGGCAAAATTTAGTCAAATGCCACTTGTCGGTGGTTAGCTATAGGTACTTGTGCTATTTTTGAGTGAAAAACTAAGGAAAATTTTGTTAATCATTAAAATGTGTATACAGACACTTTGCCATTATGTCAAATGGATCTGCTTCTGTACAAGATGACGTGATTTGCAAATGACGTGATAATAGCTGTACTGACGCTGGGCTGCAGAAGTAAAATTTTAATTTGCATTAGTTTACTTCGAATTAGCTGTCGTGTGAACGCAATTTATGCCTTGTTCACACGGAGAGTTTAATTCGTATTAAACGTAAGTTTACTGCGAATTAGCTTCGCTTAGCGTTCACACGGAGAATTTAATGCGAATTAGTTTAATTCGAATTAGTTTAATGCGCATTAAATTACTTCGCATTAGCTCCGTGTGAACGCTAAGCGAAGCTAATTCGAATTAAATTTTGACGCATGCGTAAGGCCAGAATTAAGCCACAGGACACGTGTTGGTGGGTATATATAGGTATTTGTGCTATATATGGTTCAAACATTGAGGAAAAGTATGTTAATCACTAAAATCATTGAATACCTGTAGCCTCTACATGATGTATCAAAGGATGGCTCTGCATACATGACGTGATTTACAAATGACGTCATAATAGACTTACTGACGCCTGACTGTAGAAGAAAAATTTTAATTCGCATTAGTTTACTTCGCATTAGCTGTCGTGTGAACGCAATTTAATTCGCATTAATTTGATTCGCATTAGTTTACTTCGCATTAATTTACTGCGAATTAAACTCGTCGTGTGAACAGGGCATTAATTCGAATTAGCTTCGCTTAGCGTTCACACGGAGAATTTAATGCGAATTAGTTTACTTCGCATTAGTTTACTGCGCATTAAGTTACTTCGCATTAGCTCCGTGTGAACGCTATGCGAAGCTAATTCGAATTAAATTTTGGGGCATGCGTAATGACAAAATTAAGTCAAATGCGTCTTGTCGGTGGTCAGCTTTAAGTACTTGTGCTATTTTTGAGTGAAAAACTAAGAAAAAATGTGTTAATCACTACAATATGTCTCCAGACACTGTGACATTATGTCAAATGCATCTGCTTCAGCATAAGGTGACGTGATTTGCAAATGACGTCATAATAGCATTCCTAACGCCTGACTGTCGAAGTAAAATTTTAATTCGCATTAGTTTACTTCGCATTAGCTGTCGTGTGAACGCAATTTAATTCGCATTAGTTTGATTTGCATTAGTTTACTTCGCATTAATTTACTGCGAATTAAACTTGTCGTGTGAACAGGGCATTAATTCGCATTATTTTAATTCGCATTAGTTTACTTCGCATTAATTTACTGCGAATTAAACTCTCCGTGTGAACAGGGCATATATGTAATGACTTTGATCAGAAATTATTTTTTATAAAAGTCCAAATTCCCTTGTACACGGGGATTAATACTGAAGACATAATCAACGTATAAAATTGTAACAATTGATTCTTCATTTTCTATGCTGTAAAAATCAATCAACATTGTGTTTTCCTACTTGCATGTTGATACTATTTCATGATTGTCATTTTTTATATTCCTCAACATAATTGGATTTGGATTTGATCCTGTGGTCTCATTAAGATCCTACTATGATTTTTTATTTTTTGTGTATCTACCTGTACTAAATGGAATCTTTTTTGAATTTCAGCTGAATGGCACTACTCGGGAGAACACGGTAAAGCGGTATATGTATACAGATTTGATGTGGGTTTCTTTAAAAATATTGCAAAGTACATTTCAAGGAGATCGTTGTGAAGACGCATCTGACCATCTCTGTTAGCCCCCATTTGTGTGTGTCTTAAATCATAAATCAAACTATAAATATATATATATATATATATATATATATATATATATATATATATATATATATATATATATATATATATATTATATATATATATATATATATTGAGGAAGATGCTAGATTGGGATTTTTTTTGGTGAAAAATTGAATCAAATTGTTTTTCATAACATCATAGCTATAAATACAACTACCGGCATTCTGTAGGCTTACATAAATAAATCAATTAAAACATAACATGTTAAACCCCTGTCACACCAGGGCTGCGTCCTCACGGCGACTGCACGGCGTCCTCAAAAAATGCAAAACGCCGAGGTGATCGCAGTAGAGTCTCCTACAGCAAAGTGACAACGCGGCGAGATCTCCACTGAACGCCGTAGGGTCGCGTAGGGTCTCCTAGAACACCAGGGGACGGCGATCACTTTGGGCATGCACAAAGTACGCGCCGTGTGATCGCGGTCTGATAAGAACGCAGTAGAAACGTAGTATGATCGCCGTAGCAGCGCGGTGAGATCTCCAGCAACGTAGTGGGAGCTCCTACGAACGCCGTGAAGACGCACATGATCGCGGCAGGAACGTAGTGATAGTAGACTGCGCTTCCACGGAGACCTCACGGAGATGTCGCGGAGTCCTTGGAGATGACACTGCGTTTCTATCGCGTTCTTACGGCGCTTCTAATGAGATTTATCGTCTTGTGATTTTTTCGACTGCGACTACACGGCGACAGCACGGAGTTGTCACTGCGATCATTGCGCTCCCATGGCGTCTCTACAGCGTCCTTTTGCGATCACAATGCGTTTTCACGAGCGTTGTCAGCCAGCTCACAAAACAAGAGCAATGGGATCATATTTGATCAGCAATAATTCCAACGTATTTGTTGCACTAGGAGCATTTAAGTGAAAAAAAATGGAAGATAAAATTACACCAGAACTTGTTCTGTTGTTTCAATTAAATTTTGTAGAAAACTTTTCAGTGTGTTTATTTATTATTTGTTTTTTACATTCACAATAAAATCAAAGAAAATCTAACAACACATCTGAACCGATAAAATTGAAAAAAAAGCAGTTTAATCATAAAACTATTAAAAATTTAGTACTAAATTATTAAAATAGAACATTTTTAGTTATCAAGAATTTTTCTTGGCATGATTAGCAGATTAGAAGTCTTTTCATCTTGTAACTATAATCTTTAAACAAAAATGTTTTACATTCCTTTTGAGTAAATATCAGTGAGTATAGAACGCATTGTGAACGTATTGTGAAAGCAGCCAGCGCAGTGAGAAGGCCGTGAACACGAGGTGAAAACTCCTAACACGCCGTGAAAACTCCGCGGAAGCGCAGTCAATCGCCGAGAGATCTCCATGGGAACGCAGTAGAACGCCGTGAGATCGCCGTAGATTCGCGTCCGGCGCCGTAGGGACGCCGTGAAAAACTCATATTGTGAAAATTTTACAGAAATTTGTGCAATTTCCCTGCGATTCCACGGCGATTTTAAAAATTTAACAACGCCGTAATCACTCCGTGTGAACGCAGCTTGGTGTGACAGGGCCTTTAACCTTAATTTTATACAAAAATGTTGATATACATGTATATAATCTGTCATTTTTTTGCGCAGGAATATACGAATGGCCAAATGAATTTGAACAGTGTGGGGAGGTGCGCCAGTCCCCGATCGATTTTCCGAAAGTGGAAGACATGACCTACTCTAAAATGACGCCAATAGAGTTTCACGGCTTTGATGACCCCACCAAATATCGCTTAAAACTGGAAAACAACGGACACACAGGTAAACATATAGGGAAAAAAATATGAACAGTTATTATTTTTTTATTTTTTAAAAAAGAATGGCCTGCAAGTTTGCAGCTTTGACTCATTCATCAACCTGAGACGGAGGCATGCTGGCCGATACTGAGTGTGGTATATAGAAAAAGTCTATCCGTTATTTTTTAATAGGCATAAAATGCCTTAATTTTTTAATCAGTTGACAATTGCTTCTTATTTGTGGATCATAATGCTTAATTCTCTGAATGCTATATGACTAATGAATAAAACCGCAAAAATTGACTTTTCGGGGGCTAAGATCAAAGTCGGTGGTTACGAGGTCGGTGTCCATGGTATTTTACAAAAGTCATAGGGTCGCCAGCGTGACGCAGTGGTTAAAGCGTCTTCCCTAGAGTCGCGAAGTAAGGAATTGATCCTTACGTCGCGGGTTCGAATCCCACTGTGGGACGTGGAGACCGGTCCTTCGGATGAGACTGAATAAACCGAAGTCCCGTGCCGCAGTAGAAGCTGGCACGAGAAGATCCCTTACTGCTCAATGGTCCTGAGTGTAGGAGAAAATTTGCAGCTCTCCACAGGCAAGCGGTGGCGTCTCCATAAAAGTGAAAATTTCTGGAAAGGGACGGTAAACAACACAAAACAAAAGTCATGGTTCCAAACCTTTTACAGTTGTCGAGGTGTAAGGTGTAGGTAGAGTGATTTAGTGTTTTTCTGCTTTGCAGGAGACAAAAGAGATCCCAAAAGGGAAGCGAGGACTCACAATTCTCTAAATTCCCGTGTTATGTTTATTAAATATTCAGTTACTACTTAAAGCTGGCGGCTTTAACTTTTCTGTGTATGGAAGTCAGCTATATATTGAAACATATTACAAGTAATATACCGTTCTTCAGTCAAGGTAAGCATTGAGAGTGGTGACGTATACATAGAAGGCGGAGGACTTCCGGGAAGATTTAAGACGGCGCAGTTCCACTTCCATTGGGGCCATAGTGGTGATGAAGGATCGGAACACACTTTTGATGGCCACAATTTCCCCATGGAGGTAAATGGACTTGATCCTCTATTGTGTTCAATACTCCATTGATTTACTATTCATTTACAATTATATTATATTTAATAGTTTGTTTTGTAACAAATACAATGTAGCACCAATGTCAAATTGATATACAATGTACATATGATTGCAAATTAAAACATCTGTTTAAGCTTTCTTTTAAAAGTCAGGGAAATTAAGTAAACTTTGATATGTCAGAGTGTTTGAGGCAATGAGGGTAAAATAAAGGGTCAAATCACTTAAAAATTATCACGGTATTCGAATTATCGATGCAAGATATACCAATATCCACTTGTATTAATGAATAATCAATTAATTACTGATGTATTTCACACGTTTTGCAGCTTCACGTGGTCAATTACAATGAGAAGTATGGTAATATTTCTAATGCTGCAACACAAGACGGAGATGGCTTAGCAGTTTTGGGTTTCTGGTATCAGGTAATGTCGTCTTACATTCAAATTATCATGAATTCATAATTACCCAATTCAATTTATTTCTGAAATTCCAAATGAACGTGTTATTTATGTTGTGTGACACAAGGAAATAAGAAATAGGGATATTACATAAAACTTCCAGGTGTCGGACCATGACAACTATGCACTGGCCCCGCTTATCAATGAACTGAGCCATGTCCCAGTAAAAGGTAAAAAAAAAAACCCGCTCAAAAAATATTTTGAATGATTAACTGCCTGGCTTGATGCAAAACAGAATTTCCATTAATGCTTTTTAGCTCACCTGAGCCGAAGGCTCAAGTGAGCTTTTCTGATCAAAATTTGTCCGTTGTCTGTCGTTGTCGTTGTAGTCGTTGGCGTTGTCGTCGTCGTAAACTTTTCACATTTTTATCTTCTTCTCAAGAACCACTGGGCCAATTTCAACTAAACTTGCCACAAAGTATCCTTGGGAAAAGGGGATTCAAATTTGTTCAAATGAAGGGCCACGCCCTTTTCCAAGGGGAGATAATCATAAATTTGAGAAAAATTAATGGCATTTTTAAAAAAAATCTTCTTCTCAAGAACCACTGGGCCAGGAAAGATGAAACTTATGTGGAATCATCCTTGGGTAGTGTAGATTCAAATTTGTTCAAATCATGACCCCCGGGGGTAGGGTGGGGCCAAAATGGCCGATCAAAGTTTAACATAGGAGTATATAGGAAAAATCTTTACAAATCTTCTTCTCAAGAACCACTGGGCCAGGAAAGATGAAACTCATGTGAAACCATCCTCAGGTAGTGTAGATTCAAGTTTGTTCAAATCATGACCCCCGGGGGTAGGGTGGGGCCAAAATGGCCGATCAAAGTTTTACATAGGAATATATAGGAAAAATCTTTACAAATCTTCTTCTTCTCACTGGGCCAGGAAAGATGAAACTCATGTGGAACCATCCTTGGGTAGTGTAGATTCAAGTTTGTTCAAATCATGACCCCCGGGGGTAGTTTGGGGCCAAAATGGCCGATCAAAGTTTTACATAGGAATATATATGGAAAACTTTTAAAATCTTCTTTTCAAGTACTTTAAAGCCATGATTAGAGATATTTAATATGGAATTAGGGCTGGGCAATAATATCGATATTTCAATATATTGCAATACAATGACAAAAAATATCGTATCGCAATACGATTTTGTAATATCGATATATTGGCAATATGCTTAGAGTAAGGAATTTTGTCATTAAAAATAAAAATGGACTTATGAAAGTTTGTTATTAAGCCAAACAGTACGACAGAAGTTGCTTTGTGGGAACATTTGAGAGCATAACTTTAATGAAATTAACAATTTTTTTGTCATTGTTGGTTACTTATCATAGTTATGTACATTCTGCATGTAAATTAAAAGTAAATTTAGGAAGAAAATGCCATTTAAATTACATTTAAAATATTGCAATACATATCGCAATACAGTTACAAATATCGCAATATATCGCAATACGAAATCTCGGGCCAATACCCAGCCCTATATGGAATCATCCTCAGGTAGTGTAGATTCTAGTTTGTTCAAATTATGACCCCTGGGGGTAGGGTTGGGCTAAAATGGGGGATCTAAGTTTTACATTAAAATATATTTAAAAGTCTTCTTATCAAGAATAGCAAAGCCATGATTAGTAGTACTAGTATTTATATTGAAGCATTCTCATGTAGTGTAGAATTAAATTTGTTCAAATGATAACCCCAAAGGGTAGGTTGGGTCACTATTGTGGAACAAATAAAGGAAAAAATCCCAAGAACAGAAAAGCTATGTTTAGTCATATTTGCGTGTAAGCATCCTCATGTATTGAAGATTTAAATTTGTTCAAATCATGGCCCTTTAGGATAGGGAGGGAAGCAATGGGGAATCAAATTCAAATTGTTACGAAATAATATATACCGGTAGGAACAAAATGTTTAAAAAAGAAATCTTTTTATCAATAAGAGCAAAGTCATATGCTGTATTGATATGAAGGCATTCTCAAATAGTATTAAAATTGAAGCCCCCCCCCCCCCCCTCACCTCAGTAAACTTTCAGTTCTGATCTGATGATGCGTTTTTTCCTAGTCGATGTGCTGGGGTGAGCGATGTGGCCCCTGGGCCTCTTGTTAATAGTTAATAGTCTTATGTTTTTAACTTTATATTACTTATAAAGGATCAAAAATGGATCTGACAAACGTGAACCTTGGTCTCCTGCTGCCAATCCACATGGATGAATACAATCCTCATTTTTACCGTTACTCCGGCAGTTTGACTACCCCTCCTTGCTTCCAAAGCGTTGTCTGGACAGTGTTTGACAATAAAATGCCGATCTCAAGTGCGCAGGTTAGTTATTTTCAGCCATTCTTATTTACAGATAGGATTTTACTCTGCAAAATGTTTTTGGAAAAGTTCTTTAGAGTTTATGCCGCATTTTTGTGAATGACTTCTTAAAGTCACTTTGAATATCGTAAAAACATGAATTTGACATATAAAGTTCCAATGCGAAACAGTTTTTTTTTAAATAACACAACCAAAAAGGAAAAAAATCTACGCCAATTGAACTTATATAGCTTGAAAATTTTGAGAGAAAGAGAGAGAGAGAGATATAAATGCAACAACGCATTCTGAAATCATCTCTCTCACATGTTCAGTTGGAAATTGAATCCATTTTTAGTTACACATGTTCCAAACCCTTCACGAGGATAAGGAAATAGAGGGTGACCATTATCTCATTGACAACTATCGCCCAACTCAGCCTCTGAATGGAAGAATTATCTATCGCAACTTTGAAGTGACGTCGACTGGACCTGTGGAACAACAGCATCAACAAGCACAGCAAGAGGTTGCGAAACCGAAACGAAAGGCAAAAATTAATGTCCGTCTCCACTTAGAAGACTAAATACTTTTAATGTACTATGCATGATTTTATTTAAGCACTGTCTAGTATTCCCCTTTCATTTCAATCCCTTTCTTGATGTGTAAACGGGTGATGGGCTCTTAAACGTTCAACTTCTCTCCTTCACAAATTTTAGTAGGTTATATTTTGTAATACATTTGTACTTTTTAAAGAATAAAATTATTAAACAGAGTTGAGTGAAATGTTATTTACTATCATCAATGGATTTAATATTAATCAAAGTCAGATTGGAAGAATTCAGAGATGTTGCCAAACTCATAGGTTGCACTTCTCCGTTGATATCGTCGCCCGCTTGGCGCAGTGGTTAGAGCGTCTGCTTTGGAGTCGTCAGGCAAGGAGTTGATCCTTACGTCGCGTGTTCGAATCCCACTGTGGGACGTGGACACTGGTCCTTCGGATGAGACGTATAAACCGAGTTCCCGTGTCTCAGTAGGTGCTGGCACGAAAAGACCCCTCACTGCTTAATGGCCAAGTGCCAAATATAGGACAAAAATTTGCAGCTTTCCACCGGCAAGAGGTGACGTCTCCATATAAGTGAAACATTCTCGAGAGAACGTTAAACAACATACAATCAATCAATCTCCGTTAATATCATACGTTACATGTAATTATATGTCCAGTAATATTAATGTTAATGGAAAGATAACCTTCAGTCTATTGTCAAGTACATGTACATGTAGTACTGGTATACTAGAGATACGATTTCTTGCAAACAAACTGTTTTAAAATAGAATCATAAATAGACGTTTCTAAATATTTATTCGCTGAATATTGAGAACAGAATGAAATACAACAATCAGACATTGTACTCATGATTTCTAATCGGCAACAACCAAACAGAATGATTTTTAAAAATGGATGCACCAATTTTTGTGCATAGAAAGTATCCCTTAC